ACTGGACAGCTCTGATCCAGAGGATGTGTGCTGCAAAGAAGGAATTCTAGATTTTAGAGCAGGTTGGAGAAAATATTATGTTTTAAGAGAAATTTGGGAATTGGACAGAGAAAGGGGATTAAGTTGTAGCCACGTTAAATTTGAGAAGCAGTAGGACCTATCAATCAGGCATCTATAATTGCACAGGGCTCATTTGGAACAGAGGACCTGAATAGAAGGTTTTTGACAGGTTATGGGAAAAGCCCTATGCTAGTGTCATGCTTGCAGAAGCTCTTTGCGCCTTCTTTCACAAAACATATAAGAAATACAATTTTTTAAACTGATAAACATGACCATTAAGTACATTCTTTTTTGAAAGCCTGTATTTTCATATTCATAAAAGTTCTTTATGAAACTATCTGTATTTATGAAACTATCTGCACTTTACTGCTATGTAAAATAGGCACCAGTAAGGTCAGATTCCCTCAGTCTTGAGTGGGAACACAAAACTCTAAAATAGGTAAGGTAAACCTCAGCACAAAACCTAACCAGTCTCCCAGATGCGCTAATTGTAGTATAAGCCTCTGAAGGTGCTGGAAGATCAGACAAACAAGCACAGAGGCAACTGACTAGACTGTGAGCCCTACCATCCCTGTCATTTGACTCCACTGATCTTTCTCCACTTGAAACATGGATCTCAGAAGCCAGAGACCACATTGTTCTATACATGCATTAAACAGTAGTAGGTTGGTAGTTAGTTTAATTTTATTGCCTTTTACCTCTCTCTTTCTTCCATTTAAGAACATCTGAAGGAGGCTTGGTGAATGGTAAATATAAAAAGCAAGAATAAATTTTACCTGTAAATTAGTCATGAAAGTCATCTCCTTTTAAATGAATCTTTTCTATATATAAATAAAATTAATGTAAAAGTGTGTGACTCTCACCACTGAGCCAATTTTACTCTATATCCTAGAGCATGAGGTTACAGATAAACTCAAGGGCTGTCTAGCAAACTATGGAAACTATGTGGGAAGATGCCAATATCTTGAATAGAAAAGTAAGCATCGAGGTTGAAACCCATGTGATAGTTAGGTTTAAGAGTGAAGACAAAGAAGAATCATGAAGGAGCAAGACAAGAAACAACAATTTAGCAAAGAACCATAAAAGTGGAATGTCATGGAAGGCAAGAAGAGAAAGTGTCAAGAAAGAAGCAATCAATGGTCTAAAATGCTATGTAAAAAAAAAAAATAGAGATAAATAGAAAATGCAAATTAAAGTGGTAGAAATAAGTCTAAATATACCACTACACAAAATAAATGTTATTGGATTTAACTCATTGATTAATGGAACAGAGATTCTCAAACTGAACTAAACACAAGGCACCCATATGCTACATAAGCACTTACATAAATTTGTAAAACATAAAACCCAAAATTTAAACCAGAAGATACCAAAAGGGTGAAAGTAAAAGGAATATATACACAAACACATACATATACACATACATACAAACATACACACGCGCATACCAATTAAATACTAAATTAAAGAACACAAAAAGTATTATTAAACAAAATAGGTTTTAAGAAAAAAGTAATAAATGCTCAAAAGTGTTACATTTTCATGATAAAAGATGACTTCATCAGTAAAATTAAATCATCCTAAATCTGAGAGTATACAACAAGGTATTTTAAACATTTACAAACAGAACATGGCATAATTATAAAGAGAAATGGACAAATCCCAGAATTACAGAGAATGAATTATTATGCAACTCAAGAACCAACAGATCGGGACCAACAGTTAGCGTAATGGCTATGTCGCTGGACTCCCACGTAGTCGACCACAGTTCAAGTCCTGGACCCGGTGACTTAAACTCACGGCTGGCGTGTGTGCATGCCCAAGATCCCGAGGGGGTGATGATTTCTCATTTTCTGTCCCTCTGTCTCTCTCTGTCTGTCTGGTGAGCGCACGCGCCCTATAGCAAAAACCTCTCAAAAAAACAAAAACAAAAAAAAACCCAACATATAAAGAGGATAAAATGATCTAACGATATAAAATATCAGTGACTTAATTAACACTTATCTATTGGACATTTATTGAAACTGGAACCCACATTTTAAAAATCCTATTCTTAGGACCAGCAGTAAGTGTAATGGCTATGTCGTTGGACTCCCATGTAACCGACCACGGTTCACTTCCCGGACCCGGTGGCTTAAAATTCACACCGGGTGCATGTGTGTGCATGCCCAAGATCCCGAGAGGAGAAGGGATTGCGGCGTGGCCTTCCCCCCCGGGGGTGATTTCTCATTTTCTGTCGTTCTGTCTCTCTCTCTGATGAGGGCACGCACTATAGCAAAAACCTCTCAAAAAAAACCAAATCCTATTCTTTGCAAAACTGAACATATATTAGGTCAGAAAGTAAGTCTCCATAAATACCAAATCATACAGAACAAGAATAAGATGCCTTTTAAAAGTAACAGACAGTGAACACAAAAGGGGTCCTAAAAATTAAAATATGGCAGAAGAAAAAACTCACTAGAATGTGTGGAATATAAAATTGAAAAGTCTCTCACCAAATCGGAAAAAAAAAAAAAAAAAAAAAAAAAAGGAACGAAAAAAAAAAAAAAAAGACAACAAGGTAGAAAGTAGGAGAGAAAAGCTAAGAATATTAGAACATTCTATTATAATAGTGGTAACATCCCCCAAATAGGGATTCCAAAAAGAGAGAACAGAGGATAAAATAAACAAACAAACAAAAACAAAAACAAAAAAATCAGACTAAGTCAGACTGAAGTCCTCTGACTCAAGAGAAAAATTCAGGGGTACAGTTAACCCAGAAGTCAATACAGTTGTCGCTCTGGGAAGTGGACATGATGGGACAGAAAATAGGGACTCTTGCATAATATGACAATGATAATAGAGTTCTACTTCATTATGAAGGGTGTATACATGAGGTTTGCTTGCATATTGTTATTTAACTTGCACATACAGGGGGAAGTTCAAAAAGTTTGTCAAGAGTCACCATGTGGCCTGGCTTGCCCAAAATCCAAAAAGGAGTGCAAAATGGAGACTCTGATGTAAACATTCCCCATGGGAGGTGCTTTCTCACTTTCTCTCTCTGGCTAGTACATGTACTCTCTGGCAAATTTTTTCTTAAAGTTCATAGAAAAGTAAAATTATTTTGCTTGTTTATTTTGGTGAAAAAAAATTTAAATTCATGCATTTTTATATGAACTTTTCTATGAACTTTTTAAAGACCACCCTCATATAAATTTTGTATATTCATATGATTTATGAGAAATTTAAATTTCCTATAAAAGACTAGACAGAGTCTATCCCAGTAACATATATGTATATATGTGTATGTATTATGTATATATAAAATATGTAATATATAAAATTTATATTAATTATATATAACACATGTATTATATTTTATACAATATAATACATGTATTACATTTAAAATGCATATATACATTATATTAAATACATAAAATATAAAATGATCTATTTTAAGATCAGAAAATCAAATGCTGGCCCCCCAAATATTTGACAGTGATAAGAAAGTCAATGTTTTTGCTAGAGGGAGTCACACTTTGTTCATTGGCCTGGTGAAAACTAATGCTAGCATACAAAGAGTTTAAAAGTACATTTGTAGGTATGGTAGATCCAAAAATTATTTCAAATATTCACTGGCCCTCTCTGTGAGAAACTGATATTTCCTAATCCATTTGTCAGTCTTGGCCATGGACTTGCTTTGGCAATGGAATTAATTCAAATGTGAGTGACATGTACCACTCCTGAGTGGAACCTTATAAGCATTCCCTGGTTCTGCTGCAAGAGGCCAACATACCCCAGACTCGTCAAGCTGAACTGCACCTCCAGTCTGGATCTCTGAATTGCAGCTGACCAATAATAAGGAAAGCAGAAAACAGAAGTCTAAGGTTACAGCATGTGAGAAAAGGATTTGGCTACTCTTCTAAGGCCTGAGTATGTTAAACAGAGATAACTATTAGAGAAGGCTGAATATCCAAATTAGAGAGGATAGTGACAGCGCAAGGTACCACAGGCAGTGGAAGGGATTATGATCAAGAACACAGGGCAAAGGGTGAGCCTCAGGGATGAGAGAGAGGACACTATCAGAGACAGTAACAAAAGGACAAAACTGGCAAAACTAGAGTTCAAAGGCATAGATTTGAGCAAGCAGGAGGAAGTTAGTCCCAATCTTTTGAGAAGGGTAGAGGTGAAGACAGCTGCTGGGAATGAGATGTGGACATGGCCAGGGTGAATAAGGCACTTGAGAGGGAGGTTGGTTTTGAAGAGCTGCATGCAGAGTCCATGTGCATGTCAGTACTGAACTCACTTTCCCGATCAGGAAAATGTTGACCCAGTTATCTGCTAGTAATCACAAAAGTTACATACTGTTATTATTAGTTGTGCATTTTCATAATAAAAATATAGAGATCGTTTGTCTTCTTACCAGTATGTATTTGCATAAAATGTAACTGGCCTTAGAAATACTTTATCAGTATTTTGAGGGAATGGAGTAAAACAAACCACAATATTTTATTTTAAAGAACACTAAAAGGATTTTTTCCTAGGTGTCACAATAATTTGCTAAAAATCATTAAATATAAATTTTAATAAAATATATTATGTTTTCATGTCCCTGAACTTTTTTACAAATTAAATGTTAAGATATATGAAAATAAATAATTGAATAATTAAACTAAAGGAAAAAATGATTTGTAAATTGGTGTAGTTCAAACTAAATTTGACTACAAGACTTACTATATTTTTTGTTATTAATTGTACTAAAATGTTACTCAACTGAACAACTCAAATCTTTGGTTTTAATATTCATTCTAACTAACAATTACATTTATAAAATTATCATATTTCTCTTTTCAAGCATTTTGCATGCACTTGCATGCACTTACCCACATATCTGGAAATCTAATCATGCAATGTAAACTCTGCTAAATTAATAAAAGAAAAATAAATTCCATAATTACCATAGTAAAGAGAGGTTCTAAGCCATTCGGAGCAGTGGTTGGACGAAACTTTCTCTTTCTCCATGTTTCAGATTTAGCTTCCCTTGTGATTTTTCCACTGGGGGGAGGAGGTGGAGGAGGAATAGGCATCATGTAACTGTTAATGTTTGGAAGTTGATATGGATTCATTCTCTGTGAATTGCCCATGGAGTTCCTGAACTTCATCACTGCCTTCTTGCCCTGTAATCCCATTTCATAACATAAAAGATAACAATGAGACAGCAGAAGTGACCCAGCGTAACCCAAAATTAAAGACTAGCCTGTATGATTGACATTACATGCAAACACAACTGATATCAATAGACACACTCAAAGCATTGTGGCCTGTTAAAAAAAAATGGCCATTTGTAGTATCCATAGCAAATTAATTCATAAGTTTCTAACTTTATATAGTATATTTTAAAACCAATATCTAGTGATGCCACTTTTATAGTGCTCTTGGAATTTTTTTTATAAACAATTCATTAAATCTATGGGGGACTCAGTACAATTAAACAATCCAAAAAGGAAGAAGCTTAAAGTATTATATTATGAAGCAGGGTTGGATAGTCCACATAGTGATGGAAAATTAGTATTTTTTTATATGTTGATTTTTACCTAGGATATCCAGGTAAAAATCTGGCAAGGCTGTGAACAAATTGGCAATCTGATATACTGTCTTAAATGACTTGTTACAACTTTCATGGAATTTTGGAAAATTATAATTTTTTGAAAATAATTAAGTGATAAATTCCTATGTATTCAAATGCTCAATCATTTAAAATGGTAATAGGTATCCCCATATTGCTTTCACAAGTAGTTGTACCAGTCTCTACTCCTACCAATAGTGTGTGAGAACTTATCATTCTAAAGGTATTAATTTTCAATCAATTCATTAGTTTTACTCAGCTGCATCCCAACCTGTCTGTTTTGGACTAATCATTTTTGTCTGAATCACACACCCTCTCTCCTATGGCTTAACAGTCAACCTGTTTATATCTGCTGCACCTTTAAATACTTCACACATGCATATCCTTTACTCTAAAAACCTATAAGAAATTGTTGAGTGTTCACTATATACTCAGCAATCATGCAGATGAAGATTCTTCTTTGGAAATTTATCTGATATTATATTAAATCATTTTCTTCATCAATGCCATTGAAAAGAATTACATCTTTTTTATCTGAATCTTTTGCCTAAGTATATTAATGCCTATGTACATTAAGTCCAGTCAGTTAGTTTTTTGTCTGCCTTGATAATTGATATATCACCAATGCTGACAGCAGTATATAATCCATTATAAATATTAATAAAAATTTACTGGATGAAAAGTGAATTTAGCTAGTTGCAATTGACATGAAATTGGTCTCAATCTTTTCAGCACAGATGAGCTACCATTAAGAGCCTATCCCTCAATAACCCACACCCTAAAAAGTTGGAAACAAGAAAATAGGAGCCCTCTGTGTAGCTTCAGTTAGTAAGTCCATTCAGTGGCTAAGGTCAGATATGTATAGCCACCTGAAAGGAAAATATTCCCCAGCTAATCATTACCTGATTAATAGTGTTCATATATCTAGCAGTAAAACATATCAATGTATTAGTCAAAATGGAATTAATAATTACAGAAGCTTAATAGAATAATAGAATCACCTTGACAAATGTGGAAAGTAATCATATGAGTACTATCTAGGGGAAAGAAAATCATTTCCATTGGACTTTGAGTATTTCCAGTCCTAATGGTAAGGGTATCCCTGGAGATACAGAAGGTTTTAGCCAAAGACCTTTGCATTTGCTGGTACCTTTGGCTGGCCCATTCCTAAGATGAGATGGGGGTATCAGGCCATCTTAGCCGGGTGCCATTAACATTCCATTACACTCCATCTCTTCATTCTGATTCCATATTCACCAGGCAACCTTCTCATTGTGACGTGGCTTCTTGTATAGGTTTGTCTACAAGAGGAGAATGCACTTCTTCTATAAGCTTTGACTATAGGGCATTTCTTTGTAAATGAAATAGCCCCATGATTATGAATGAGTTCCCTTTTTGGTTCACCATAAAGAGAAAAAAGAATTTGTGTGTCATTTTGGTTAGTCTGAGACAATCTCTCAGGGCCTGACCGCTTGTGAACGTAAGCTAAAATGGGAAATCTCTGGGCCTTCAAAGGGGAGACCGCAGCCTAGAAATTGCCAAATTAATTGACTTATGACCCAAAACGTTTCTGTCTTCTTGATTTCTGGGAAACTACTATTAAATTAATTGAAACAAGGTTTGTGAAAAGTGCTTCACAAGCTGTAAAGCCCGTTAAGTGTATTAAAATATTAGTTATTATTTTTAGAATTATTTATACTTTCACTGTAAAAGAATCATTTGTCTGAATTAATTTCATAGTGTCAAGGTTATCTGTCAGTTAAAGATATTAAAAAAAAATCTTAATTTCAAATGTCTTGTGTTTCCTAATAAGGAATGGAACATAATTCACCCATTTAAGCATAATGACAAGTGCCCTCAGGACATAGGTTCTTTTTGAAGCTGGCAAATGTTTCTTCTTTGTGTTAGAAATATAGACAATACCCTCCCTAACAAGTAAATGTCCTAATTACTCCTCCCTGTTTTAGTCCCTCCTATTTCATTGTTACTATCCAGACTTCCAATGCTCCTGTTACAATAAGTGAAAATTACCAGAGACACAACCTTCAAAGGCAAGCAGAGTCAAGTTCCTGTATGTGATTAACTCAGCACTTTTTAAAAAGCAGACATTCTTTTCCTTCTATATTCAATCTTTGAAGAGTCAAAGTGGAAGCAATTTCATACACTGATGGAAAAGTAAGTCAGCATGCAAATACAAACCTATTCTTAGAAAGTTTCATTTTCTAGCTTTCATGCATTTAAGATTTGGAAGGAGTTAATATTGGGTCTTTTCTAATGGAAGTCATATCTCGTATAAAAGGACTTTCCTCTTTGTTTTTCAATCAGCCTTTCAAATTAACAGGAAACTATAACAAATTATCAAATCTATTTCTTAGTCTTTTTGCTCAAAAACATGGAATTGATAGGCCTTCAAGTTAGAGTAAGATATACTCCATCAGAAGGGCATAGTAAGTGCTTAAGAAACACACAGTATAAATTCCAGCATGTAAATCGACTGAATATAACATCTTTAAAAATGTGATAACCCAATAGTTTAGCAAAAAATAAAAAGATATTTCTTGAAGAAAATAACATTTACCCCAAGAGGAAATGGAGCTTCATTCTCCAGCAGTGAGGTTTTTGATCTGGACCCCGAAGTTATCTTTGAAACTGTTCCTACTGCATGACTATTAGGAAGAGGCTGTAATCGGGTTGGAGGCTGCATATTTCCTGGGGCAGTATATGGTCGAGGGGCTGTCTAGACAATTAGGGGGGAAAGAATTTTCATTCAAATTAGTATCTTGACATGTTTCCAGAACCAATTAATAACCCAACAAATTGCTTAGAGTAATTAATGGTGCCTTTTTACTGAACATATTAAACTTTAATTATGTCCTTCCATTATACATACCCTTATGACCCAAAGTATTTGTTAAAACATATGGTGTGGAAGTCCTCTACATAACTAAACGCCACAATTATAGAGTATTCTGGACAAAGGAGATGTTCTCTATCAGTTTCCAGTATTTTTATTCATACTGTAAACTCACTGACAATACCTAATTTATGCTATACACAGAATGGCTTTGCTCAATTCAATGTTAAGTTGAATAATGTTCCTATTTTAGAGGTCTAAAGGGATATTATTGGAATGAAAACATTTTTGTTTAAATATTTTTGTAAACTCGCTGACAATACCTAATTTATGCTATATTTATGCTAATTTATGGCTTTGCTCAATTCAATGTTAAGTTGAATAATGTTCCTATTTTAGAGGTCTAAAGGGATATTATTGGAATGAAAACATTTTTGTTTAAATATTTTCAATATAAACTCTATTCTGAATTCCCTAAGTCTAAAGATTGGTGCTGAAGTAAAAGTAGACAATAAGATTCAAACAAAAGAAGAAAGATTTTTAACTGTAACACATTACCATTTATTCAATTACTTCCTTGAAATATTGAGAAAAAAATGAAAAATTATAACTGGCAACTTTGGAAACTGCTGTATAAAAGGATTATATTTTTCATGTTGGGTATTGTCCATGTGCCTTTCTAGATCTATTGTCTACTTTTCTGTTCTGATCTGAGTCATACAAGTCATTCCATTAGAGTCTATATCAACTAACCTCGGGACCGCAGTTGGATTCCACCAAGGGGAGGCATTAGCAGGTGATGGAAGGACAGGAGGGAAATGAGATTGAGGTCTTTATTCTCCTGGACCCCTCCCTACAGGGTCATAATGGGCCCACTCAGTTACTCTACCAAAGTCCACAGCTTCTGTTGGGAAATCCTCTCCTAGCTACAGACACCATCAGCTAGTTCTGGTTTTCCTCTTTTCCCCTCTCCTTTAGGTGTTGTGGCTTCCCACTGTATGAGCCTGACATGCTTAAAAATCCTTCTTTGGTTATCCTTAACCCTGCCTGCATCTTTGTAAATAGTTTCTTTATTAAACACTTCCTAATTACCCTATTTGTGTGAGCCATCTGTTTCCTGCTGAGCCCCTGACTGATGCACTTTCCAATCAAGAATGTGCCAGTATGGAGCATTAGAAATGCCTTTCGGGTTACTGACAAAACATTGTTAAGTTTGGTATAAAAATTAGCAATGTGTCACAAGTCAAAAAATGAGGCTTTTAGTCCAGTTGTTCTATTACAACAAGATGGTAGAAAACCCATCAAGAATATTATGTGCATGTTTGGGTAAGAGGGCATGTCAAGGATGGTATATAAATAAATCATGAGTAAAGCTTAATACATTAACTTTAAAGAATAGTGAAAAATAAAAGAATTATCTCTGGGAAGGTGTATGTAAGTACCTAAAAAATTATAAGGCAACTTTCGCTACCAAAGACTAATCTTAGTGCCATCTTGCAAAGCATGTTATACATTTTGAAATCTCTGATTTGTTATCAACATTTATTGACTTTCCACCTATAGATAGTAACAGCAAAATACCTGAGAACAAAGCTTACAGTTCTTAGAATATTTAATATAAAGCAATTAGGCTTATAAAAATTAAAATTAGGGACCAGCAGTTAGCGTAATGGCTATGTTGCTGGACTCCCACATAGTGGACCATGGTTCGCGTCCCGGACCCGGTGGCTTAAAACTCACGCCGGGTTCGTGTGCATGCGTGCCCAGGATCCCAAGAGGAGAATGGAGAAGGAATCGTGGCATGGCCATCCCCCTTGGGGGGGAATTTCTCGCTTTCTGTCTCTCTGTCTCTCTCTGTCTGTCTGGCGAACGCATGCGCCCTATAGCGGAAACCTCTCCAAAAAAAAAAAAATTAAAATTAAAAAGAAATGTTAGATTTACACAAATGAAGTAAGAGAAGAAAGTGGATAAGTAGATAAGGAGAGTAAATGTGAACATCCAAGTAAGAAGAGAGCCAGAAGTTAGTAAGACATAGGAAGAGTAACAAAAAATAATATTCTCCAATATCTGTTTTCCTTTTCTTAATAGTAGTAGAATTTTTACCTGGAAATATGGCTATCATAAATAAAGATTATATTTTCCAGCATCATTTGAAGCTCTGTGTAGATGCATGGCTTAGTTTGAGCCAATAACATGTGAACAAAAGTGATACGTAGTATTTTGAGATCATGACCTTAGAGTAAAGAATTATCCTCTCATTTTCCTCTTTACCCCCTTCCTCTAGTGAAACAGACATTGTGTTACACCATCTTGGCTTATGTGGATGAAAACAATATTCTAAATACAACAGTTTGAATGATTCACCCAAAATTCCCATGTGATATTTGGAAGCATTGTGATGGTATTAAGAGGATGGAAACTTAAACCAGCTATATGTTAAGAGTTGGAGCTTTTTGCACTAGCCTGTAGTTTAGTGGTTAAGGTGACTGGATTCCAGATGGCTGACTTTGCTGTTCAAGTCCCCAAAATGTGTAGCTTGAGAAACATGCTAGGGGTGTGTATGTGTGTGTTTATGTGCCCTAAATCCCAAAAGGATTTTTTTTTTTGGTAATATTTCCTTTTTACCCTTTTTTTTTTAAAAGTTTTTCACCGGAAATGGAGGTGAAAAGATTGTGACATAGCCATCCCCTATGGGGAATTCTCTCTCTCTCTCTCTCTCTCCCCATCAAGTACACATACTCTCTGGCAAAATTGAAGGAAAAAAAAAAAAAGAAAGAAAGAGTTGGTACTTTCAGGAGGTAATTAGTACTAGATGAGGTCATCATTGGGTAGATCTCTATGATTAAATACTGGAGGTTTTATTAGAGGAGAAGAGACTAGAGCTGACATATCCTCTTGCCCTCTTGCCATGTGATGCCTCTAGAACCATGAACTGAATAAATCTTTATTCTTTATAAATTATCCAGTGCATGGTATTTAGGTATTGCAACACAAAAATGGACAAAACACCAAACATGTCAGATAAACTACACAAAAGAAGGCTTGGAATTCGATGGCACAGTAGGCTGTATGTATGTTGGGATGGTAAAAGGTCCTTTGTTTAAGCCATTGTTGGTTTGGGTCTCTGCACAGAAGCCTAGATCACAACCCAATACAAGAAGCCAAGTGGACTGACTAGAGAAGCATTTGATTCAAAGAAACAGGAGATAAACTTATGGGTAAGAAGGCAAAGGGTCTTAAAATTCACAAAGAGAAATTAAACTAGAAGTTTATGAACAAATATTTCTCAAAATAATTATTTCAAACTCTGTAAAACAAACATGCCTTAAGACTCTCTCCTGCCAAATAATCTAACAGAACATAAAAAATGTGAAAAATCTAATAAAGGAATTCAAGAAAGCAGGTTACTGCAAACTAGAACATGATCTATTGGCTGTTTTTCTCTAAATTTTACTTCCCCACATTTGCATTCAGATATCATTCAATTAGATGAATGGAGCAGTCAAATGTTTAACCGATTACATTTATCTCCAAAAACAAATCTGCACCATTAACTAACAGCTGTGAGCTACAAACTGTTGTAGCTCACATCAGAAGGTACCTTAATTTGCTATATTTTAAAATGTTTGTAATGTATTTTCTTGGAATAAATATGGCACTGTAGCTTAACATTCTCAAAACTGTACAGAACGCGAATTGAAATTGACTACCTGGTGATTACTCAGTTTAGCTGAGCATTTCTAATTCTTAGCAGAAGATCTCTAGGGGTGAATTTTCCTACCATGTGCAGAATTAGTTGAAGTGATGTTCTGCAGTTTTAACGTGAGTGGCACAGCTAAAAAGCCTGCATGCAATTTCAAATGTGTAGGTGCAATTAGTGACCAAGTGTACTAACATTGCACTGATGCTTTCTTCATTCACTAAGAAAGTTTTAAAAGATAAACTGATGGCAATACCCCACAAGGCTTATTATCTTCATCTCAGTGGCACTTGGAGATCAGGAGTCAAATTTAAAGCATATATAGCCAGGTTGGAAAACCAAAAACAAGGGGATAGAAAGTTCTGTAAAATGGGAACTACAATTCCAAGATCACAATTGGTATCCCTTAAGGTGCAAAAGGCTCCGTAGGGGGTGACCAAGTGAAGAACTGTGGCTTATCAGAGAGAAAAGCTTTTGAAGTGCTGATGTCAGTGTTTCCTGTAATTTTTAAATTACTTTCTCACTCCTACCACATTAAGATCTCCTGGATGTATCATAAACTATTTATTGAGGGTGTTCAGCTGGAAAATTGAAAAGAAAACCTTTCAAGGGTTTTTCCTCTCTGAAACAGGTAGAAAGACTGAAAACAACATTTGATTGTTTCTTTTGTTTCACTTGCTTTGAGAGTATAGTGAATCTGCCAGCCAATCAAAGAATTGCAGATACACACACACACACACACACACACACACATACACACACACACTCTTAAATCAAACCTAGAAATAGGTAAAAACAAGGAGAAGATGGATACTTTTCATCACTTGCGCTGTTCATCAGGAAATGTCAAAACATATTTGCTTTTTGAAAAATGTCAAAGCTTAACACTGTATGTGATGAACCTATTCAACAACCTGCACATTGCAATTTCTCTATAAATATTGCGCAATTCAAAAAAATGTTCATGCTAACAAAGAACTATATTAGACTACACAAGCAAGAATAAAGATGTAATCAAAGCAATTCAGTTACAACTTAAACTGTCGGTCTCTGGCTAATATTTTGCAAATCTTTTCCTATATCTATATTATTTCAAGGTACCTTCTCTTCCTTCAAACAAATAAAACCTTTTAGTTATAAACATTTCAAGCTGGAATAAAAGACCGATGTGCAATTTTTTTCAAATTTGTGTATATTTAAATTTCTTTTACACAGAGTATGTGCATACACTTTTGATAAAAAGAAGCTCAATATCAGTATCTAACCTAACATGCTATACGGTACCACTGAATTTGTACAGATAAGGTGGGAATCGAAGGAACAACAAGAGGTTAGAAAATATTGAATATATGGAAGAACTAGTGGTTAAATTTTTCTGCATGTAGGATACTGAAAGTAATCATGGGGGAAAATATTGGGATAGCTAAGTTGAGGTTCCATGGTTTAGGATCCCAAATGTCAGGTGAAAGGATAGAGACTTTCCTACAGGTAATACAGAACCAGGGAATATACTGGATCATATAAGTGACTTAAATAATTTGTAAGCCAAAAAAACTAATCTAGTAGTAACAAGGAAAATGGATTTAATAAGGTTAATATTGATTGGAGGAGGAGCATTCATTGAGACATGGTTGAACAGACATAAAGCTATGTTTTTATTCAGTAAGACTCAGGATTATGCCCACATGTTCCCAGAGAGCAATCTTTATGAGATTAATAAGAAATCATAAATTGAGGACCAGCAGTTAGCGTAATGGCTATGTCGCTGGACTCCCACGTAGTCGACTGCGGTTTGAGTCCTGGACATGGTGGCTTAAACTCACGCCGGGCACGTGTGCATGCGTGCCCAAGATCTTGAAAGGAGAATGGAGGAGAAGGGATTGCGGCGTGGCCATCCCCCTGGGGGGTGATTTCTCGCTTTCTATCTCTCTGTCTCTCTCTGTCTGTCTGGCAAGCGCACACGTCCTAGAGCAAAAAAAAAAAAAAAAAAAAAAAAAAAAAAAAAAAAAAAAAAAAAAAAACACCTCTCCCCCCAAAAAAGAAGAAATCATAAAATAATTAGCTGGGATGCTGCATGACAGAGTACTTAATACAACTCACCAGTGTTAATGGACTGGAATGTCCTTCTTCAACTAGAACACTATGACCACGGCTAGTCTTTGGACCAACTGGAGGACGGGGAGACAGGATTGGCATGTTATTTTCAACAGACCGTCTTGTATGCTCTCCCTAGAAGAAGAAAATGATGTCGCAAATAGACGCATAGTTAGTCATCTGTGCTAGAGTAGTGCCTGACATGTAAGATACTACATGACTGAAGAAGTCCATTCTCATTCTTTGCAAGAGGTTCGCTTCTAAGGCCTATCGTGGTAGTTAAGAATAGTTTTCTCAGCTGTATTAGAGAACTTTCACTTATAGGAAGCTGAAAGAAAAATAGGAAATTGAGTCTGCTTTAGCCATTCTCGAAGAAGTAATTGCCACAGCAGTATAGCCTCAGTTTTAGTAAGAATATTTATTAACCTGCCCTAAGCACAGCGCTACAGAAACAACAATGCTCTTTACTATTCTCATCAAAAGAAATTACAGAAAGTAATTTTCTACCTTAGAAAATGATTAAATAATGTCATTAAGTAAGAAAGGTTGCATATTAAATAAATAGAATCTAAGACATATCTTTTGCCAAATGCAGCTATAAAATGAAAATCATTACAATTAAAAATCTTATTAGGAGGATCATAGTTCCTACAGCAGATCTCTGCCAATGTGTTAATTGTAGTAATATCCCCTTGTTCCCAGCGTAGTGTGTCTGGAAATCTGGGCTGGGGTAAATAGAGCATAGGCCCAACAGTTTATGTGCTTCAGGCAGTGCTAGCCACTCTATTTTCAGTAGCCATTTTTCTCCATCACCATTTCAGAAAATAAACTAGAGAATCTATATCTAAGTCCTTGATGGAGGACAATAGTGGCAAAGTTGAATTAACCACAAATCTCTACACACCAACTCTTCTGATCTTGAAAAACTGACCTATCTTCGGTCATTTAACAACATGTTTGTAACAAGTTTATCTTTTGACCCTGAAAAAATAGATGTGAGTCTTTCAAGCAAGAGGGAAAAAAAATCACTGTCTTATATGGCAAGTTGTTCTACAGAAGCTTTACAAATATTCATCAATTTGTGAAATGTGTCTTAGGCCCTACATTTGTAATACTACACAGAAAATTAAGATAAACATGCAAGCTTGAATGGCTCAAGAAACTGAATAAAACTGACAACCTAAACTGGAATCTTTCAAACATGCCTAACTAAATCTCTCATCTCTTGATTCAAATATATTTAATTCATAAATTCACTACAAAGAGCTATCAAATACAAAAATGGAACACAAATTTAAAAGAAATATTTAAATGCCTTATGAAAATGTCTAAATCTTACTATGCGTTCTTCTGTTCAAAAGGAGCTTTCCACTGTATATTATGTTTTCAAGAGTCACATTCAAATGAAAATGTGCCATTGTATAATTTTCAAAATGGCCTTTTTTCTACCACATGGGTATTTTATCATCTATTTTTACCTTCTTAAGACAGACAAACCAAAATCAATGGCGTCTATGACAAGAAAATTTAAACACAAAGTTTAAAATTGAAATGAACATTTCCAAGTTTGTCTTTGAAAAGTTTGTGCTTTGTTAAAATTTATTTCACACAAGCAGTTTCTGTTTTGTCATAATCTTCTGAAATGATGACAGCTAACATTGGGGCTCAATGGAACATCATCTGATCTCAGTACAAGCTACCCAAAAGTATAGTCCTCCAGGGAATTTCAATAATGGCATTACTAGGTTTTTAAATCATAAAGTAATACCATAAAGTAAAGAGGGTTATGTATCTCCTTACCTTAAATCTCTGAATGCGCTCCTTTCTAGCTAAGGTTTCCAGTTTCTTTTTGATTTCAAGCTGATTGTAACGCTAAGCATATGGGAAAAAATAGAGGAGAAAAATCATATCAATTATGGCAAAAAAAAAGGTGATAAAGCAAAATCATCCCAATAGTTAATGATATTTTTAATTACCTATTTTAGGGGACCAGCAGGTGGCATGATGATTAAGGTGCTGGACACTCCCACATGGCTGACCACAGTTCAAGTCCTGGACCTGGTGGCTTGCTTTCTCACTTTCCTGCTCTCTCTCTCTTTCTCTGTGTCTCTCTGTGGTCAAATTAAAGTAAATGAATGAATAAATAAAATTAAATAAATAATTTTTTTAAATAATTACCTCTTTTACTACTGAGATGGAGAAGAATCACCTATGTAAATGCTCAGGTAGAAAATGCAAAGGTGCAACTTACGAAAGCCAATTCAGAACACGTACTAGGCAGTGAAAAAGTGTTCATACCCTGCGAGCAGTCAATTTTACTTCTAAACCCAGGGGGAAATATAAATAATAATTAAAAAAATGTTTTGTGTATAGCCAGCAGGTGGTGTGGTGGTTAAAGGTGTTGGATTCCCACATGGCCAACCATGGCTCAAGTTCCAGACCTGGAGACTTTCTTTCTCACTTTTCCTTTCTCTCTCTCTCTCTCTGGTCAAATTAAGAAATAATAATAATACATGGAATTAAATAAATAAATGCATATTTTTTAAAGAAATGTTTTGTGTATAATGATGCTGTCTGAAATGTGGTGGTGGTATTTATTTCTTCATTCAAAACAAAAATGCAGAACCAATATAAACTCTGAAGAGAATGGTTAAGTTTTGGACCAATTCATATAATGAAATAGAATATAATCATTAAAATAAAGTTCATAGAGATTTTGCTTTAAAAAATTAAAAATTTATGTAATGCAGGAAAAGAGCAGAATGGAATTGCACAGAAATATAATTTAGTTGATCAAGCCCATATGATGTGTTTGTCTCTATGCTAGGAAGGTGCTTTGCATGCATCACCTGTTGTTGAACAGCTCTCATTGCCACTAGGTCTCATTTTACAGAGAAATGGTGGCAAAGGATTTTGAACTTGCCCCAGGCTGTACACTGAGTTGGAGTAGAACTTTGGTCTATGTGACATTAACTTCCTGTTTCTTTTGTTTTTGTTTCTTCACAAAACTATGTCCCTCTCATGATTTTATTAATGTATTATTAATAAATACTATTATTAATGTATAACTATGAACTAAAGAGATTCTTTTAATGTATCTTAACAGCATTTATCTCTGAAAGGAGAAATTAGGTGTTATTACTTTCTTTTTTTAATGTTTTCCAAATTTTCTGTGATATGTTAATTTTATAACTTAAACCTCATGAGAGAATAAACTGCTTACAATTTGATTTGAAATCTCGCCAGGTGTTTTATTTATTAGCCCTTGAAAAAAAAAACATTTTTTTCTCTGTTCTTGATCCCCCTCCTGCTTCCTTTGGGCTCCTGCAGACTTAATCATTCCCTACGTAAGTGTCATCAATCCTTCTTGTGACACTTTTCCTTTCTTCTCTTCCTCCTTCTCTGATCTCTCACTCACTTATGGTCTAATTTTATTATATTCACTAACAATCATTTTCCATCTTTCATTTATTCTCACCTGACTGCAGTCCCCCACTCCCACTGGCCCTCTTCTTCATTACCACTGAAACCACCTTCACCAGAGCCACCGGTATTTTTGTCTTTTGGGTCAAACCTAATTTCGTTTTTCCTCAGTACTCATCTTATTTAACCATTCTGCAATTTGTGAGAGCTTTCTGGCTTCCAGGCATCATCTTATCAGGCATATTTTCCAGCAGTTGTCGGTTCTTTTTCAGCCTATGTCGTTGCTCCTCATCTCCCGCAATGCACATACCTCCAACCAGGCTAGACACTTTGGAGTTGCTCTGGGCTGCTCCTTCTCCTAACCCCTCCTCACTCAGTCAGTTTAAATCCTTCTCTGTCTTAAATATCTCTATGGACAGCTGCATCTCCCCAGTGTTTCCACCACTGCTGGTATCCCACACCCTTTGGCAACAGCTTCCTAATTGACCTTCTACCTCTAATCTTTTCCAGCTCATTAATCCATCTTCCACAATTTTAGCAACATCATTTTTCTAAAACAGCTCTGCTCATTTATTTCAATGCCTGCTGAAAAACTTCTCATTGGTTCATCACTTACACACCAGACGTAGCATGTTCTTAAAGATTTCAAGATCTCCAGAAACTAGGGCCCAGTCTATTGGATAGTCTCACTTCCTGCCACTCTTTTCAACTACCCCACTATGTAGCCCGACTCAGTGAGCCTCCCTTCCCACAAACAATGTCCTTTCACACACCTGTGATTTCACACCTGCCGTCTTCACTTTATGGGATGCTTTTCCCATGTTTTCGTGTGAAATCTCTCTCACAGCTTTCAAGGTCCCGTTCAAACAGCAGAATCTATTCAGTTTCCACTGATGCCTTGTGAAGAGTTATCTTATTCTTTTTTGATCTGTTTGTTTCTCTGTTCTAGTACTCAATTACTTTCTTTTTTTTTTTTCTTAAAGAATTACTTTATTTTAATTTGACCAGAGAGGGTCTGAGTAAGAGAGAAAGCAAGCAGCCAGGCAGACACTCAAACCACAGTTGGCCATGTGGGAGTCTAGTGTCCTTAACCACCATGCCACCTGCTGGCCCTAGTACTCAATTACTTTCTATAGTAATTTTTAAAGAGTATATGGTACATCTACAATACATAGCCTTATACTGGAACATGGTAAGCCTGCAATAACTGTTTGTTGTATGAGTGACTATGTGGATATTTGTTAATATGACATTGGTAAACAGCATCAGCAAAAACTAAAAGTAAGACATATCTTATCATTTAGAGGGACATTGTGTCTGCTCTCTTACTGGGTCATCAAGAAAGTCATGATGCATTTTTGCATAGAAAAAATATGTCATTACTTTCCTGATGACCTAATATATTTATATACATTATAATTAAATAAACTATTATATACATAGAAATTATATTGTATGTTATTGCATCTTAATAATTGTATATATTACATCTTAACCATTATTTGAAATATTTATTCCAAATTTTGAGAATGTACAAAGGCTTCTAAATAACAGAATATTTAATGGTATCACATTGTCTTAATGATGTGAGATTTTGACAAACTTAACTTCTATGATAAAGGTAATACTGAATCCAATGCCTATTTATTAAGTTTGAAACTAGGTAAAGATTAATTTTATGCTGTACAATTTATTTTTTAACAGAGCGGTAGAACTCCAGCTAATCCTTTTTTAAGCAAGTAAATTTGGTGGCCATACAATAATGATTCTATACAATTCATGCACATTATATAAATACAAAATGAATTCCAAAATTAAGAGACTACCCACATTTTTTTTGAGAGTTTTTGTTTGTTTGTTTTTGTTTTTGCTATAGGATGCTTGAGCTCACCAGAAAGACAGAGAAAGAGAGAGAGACAGAGAAACAGAAAGTGAGAAATCATCCCCCAGGGGGGATGACCACACTGCAATCCCTTTTCCTTCATTCTCCTCTTGGGATCCTGGGCACGCACGCATATGCGCCCAACATGAGTTTGAACCTCTGGGTCCAGGACTCAAACTGCAGTCAACTACATGGGAGTCCAGCAACACAGTCATTATGCCTACTGCTGGTCCTGAGACTACCCACATTTTAAGTAAATACCTCACTTGCTCAGTACAATAGCAGCATAACAGTAAGTATTTTCCATGACAGTACACTTTTTATTGGTTTACTGATGATTCTACAGTTGTTCGTGAATGTTTATTGCAGCTACAGGTCAACAGTTTTAAGAGCCAAGTTTTCTGATTTACTGCTGTATGGTCAAGCCAAGAAGTGACATAATTTTTCACAGAGATTAAAACAGTGTTGATGCTGGAAACTACAAGTTGCATGGAGTAAGGCTGAAATAATTCATCAAGGTAGCTAGATATCTCACTAAAAATGCCATGTCAGATTTTTTTTTAAATGTAGATGCTTGTATAATAAATTTATATTGACCAGTGTGACCTCAAGTAGGAAAGACACAGATGTTTCAATGCCTATTCTTTGAAACTTAACATACGGCTGAGCTTCAGATCCTTAAAAGAATAACAGACTGAAATATTTCATGGCAGTAGAATTACTGATATTTAAACAGATGTCACTTTTTTTTTTCTTTTAGCAAATAGAAGCTAAGGTACAGATGGTGAAGGCTGGTTGGTATGTTTTAGAGTAGCCATTGTGAATTTAAAAATCTACATTTGGAAAATTAAATATCACAAAATATGTAATAATGGCCATATTTTTTTTTCTTTCCTTAAGTGGAGAAAGCTTATTTTAGACTCCTAGCTCTTGGCTACCTAGAGAGACTATTTCTCAGGAAATTTTGTTTCTTTTTTATTTTCTAAACTAAACACAAGAAAAATCCCTCTGTTTTTTAAGTGTTATTAATTATCATATTAGAAAATATCAGTTATAAAGAAAACAGTAAATTTTACCTCCATATCAAGAACTTTATGAAAAATAGCCTGGGCTAAGCATTCCCGTATATATTTTTGGTGATCCCGCTTCATAATATTTAGTTTATATTCTTTTTCAGAAAGTATTCTTCCATTTCTTGTGATCTGTCATGAATAAATAAGATATTCTCAGAAACACAAAATAGAAAAATGTGTTGTTAGTTGCCAAAAAAGGGAGAGAGAGTGGGAGGAGGAGTAAAAGAGTATCTTCTAAGCCTAGAGGAGTATACCACTATGGTTGATAAACTTTCACTTTTAATGACTAATTCATAAAGCAAAAAAAAGGAGAAAGGCATTCTCATATACCCATCATTGTGAAAATACACAGGTGGTGCACTTGACGTTTACAACAAGGTTTTCATTAGAAGAACAATTTTCCCTTGATGGAACCCAGGTGTTCCTTTCATTTGTCTTTTGAACACTGGAAGGAGGAGTAAAGTGCTCCCTTCAAACAATGCCAGGCGCAGTGATCACAGGACTGGGGGTCTCAGAGGAAACACTTAGAAGGGCAAAACACGGAAGCTACGAGGATCTTATGACTTTGTTTTAAATAATTGGTCTCATTACTGTGTGATCCCATGGCTTTTTCTTCTTCCACTTTCCAGCCCAGAATGTAACTTAATTTGTTGTGACTCAAAATCGTACAGATTATACAGTACTATAGACGGAACACATTCAATATCAACTGGCATCATTGTAAATCCCAGAAATGGGAGTTTCTCTTTTATTTGCTTGTTTTTCTTTCCTTTTAACCTTTCCTATAGGATTTTTTTTCTTTTTTCTTTTCTTTTTTATGTATTTATTTCTCTCATGAGATAAAGATAGAGAAACAATATCCTCAACAGGGTCTCCGTGCTACGGTCCCCCCCTCAACCCCCTCCAGCCCCAGAGCATGGCACACACACACATGCCTGGAATGGTCAGGAAGTTTTCTGCACATAAACTGGTAACCTTACACTGTGGGTCAGCTTCCCAGAGCTTTGTATTACCACTGCTCCTCTGTGTGGCCCCCTGTTCTCTTTCTCTGTATTTCCTGTAAATAAATGATGTTATCCTTTCTGGTTTGTTCATCTTTTTATTTTCTATGCATTTAAGCTCTGTACTTTCTTTGAAGTTTTGAAAACTTTTTTTTAAATTTTTTACTGTTATTTTGCCACAAGGCATGTGCACTCACCAGAGAGAGGCAGAGGGAAAAAAGTGAGAAATCACCCCCAAGTGGAGATGGCCACACCACAACCCCTTCTCCTCTATTCTCCTCCTGGGATCCTGGAGGCACACACATGTGTCTGGCTTGATTTTTCAAGCTATTAGGTTCAGAATTCAAACCACAGTTGGCTATGTGGGAGTCCAGCACCTTAAATACCACAACACTCATTGGTCCCAGTAAAGCATTCTTTTTTTTTTTTTTGAGAGATTTTCACTATAGGGCGCGTGCGCTCGCCAGACAGACAGAGAGAGACATTAGAGACAGAAAGCAAGAAATCACCCCCCAGGGGGGATGGTCATGCCGCAATCCCTTCTCCTCCATTCTCCTCTCGGGATCTTGGGCACGCACGCACACGCACCCGACGTGAGTTTTAAGCCACCGGGTCCGGGAC